GCAGCTTTCACCCAAGGTCGTAGGCTTCCACCGGCTAAACCGGGTGAGGTTGGTGCTCTGTAAAGCGCATGCGCAAATCTGGCTTTTCGTAATCTGAAAATACAGGAGATTCCACTCCGCCACTAATATTCTAATATACAATAGCAATTTTTTTTCCACGTGTAGTATAGAAATTTGTAATAAGATACATAATGCGGTTATAATAAAATATTGTGCGATTATTTTCATATAATTAAAATTAATATTTATTTACTTTTTAGAGAATACGAGGGAAGCGGCGCTTCCAACGCTTCTAATGACGGCACGCCACTGGTAGTGACACAGTAGACTATTATGAAACACTATTCTCAAACTTCCAGCAGTGTATATTTTTATTTCATTGCTTGTATTGGTTGTTTCTTGAATATACTTGCTTATCTGAACATGTAACAATGTTTATTTATTGCATAAAACTAATTTTCAATATAAAATAATATTTCCTTTCCATTCTGCACCTGAAATTAAGGTGTTAGACTAAAAATTTTTGCTGAAAATGAACTTTGTTAACTATACATCTTTCTTCACACTGAAAATAGTTCCAATTATTAAGTTGTAATATATATTATATAAATTAATTAATTATAGTTTCAGTAAAAGTTAAATATTATATGTTTTAATAATTTAAGAATTGTCTTTATTCAATAATTTAATCAGTTTCCAGATCCTTGATTGCAACCAATTTTTAGAAAATTTTTGAAGTGTATTTTAAAGAAATAAATTACTAAAAATGTTGGAAATAATTAAAATTTTCAATTTACATCTATAATTTTTTTTTCCAGAGATCTAGAAGATGTGAAAGAACTGGAAGTAGAACATAACTGGTATATCTTTTTTAATGTTTTTAAATTAATATTCATGTAATTAATTGTTAAAGAAAAAACATGCTCTTTTTCTTTTTTTCTTAAAAAGCTATTTTGAATATTATATAACTAGACAGAGCTTTAAAAAAAAAAATCTTTCATTAATAAACAAAACTTACTCTAACACCTTGTAAACGTGCAGCCAAATTTATTAACTTTCTAACGTTTTTGGTCATGTTAAAAGACCTTTATCAAGAAAAAACTTTAAAATTTGATCGCAGTACATTTTGCATAAACGAATAAGCTTTTCGAATGTTTTTTGAACGATATTCTATTGAACATTAGGTGCACCATCTTCATCAATCTCTAATATTGGCTAATATCGCTAGATAGCGTACCTAATGTTCAATAGAATATCATTCAAAAATGTTCAAAAAGCTTATTCGTTTATGCAAATGTACTGCGTTCAAATTTTAAAGTTTTTTCTTGATAAAGGTCTTTTAACATGACCGAAAACGTTAGAAAGTTAATAAATTTGGCTGCACGTTTACAAGGTGTTAGAGTAAGTTTTGTTTATTGAGTAATATGCAGTCTTGGATGAATTGCAATCTTTCATTAATATAAATAATCCAGAAATACCATTGTATAGGTTCTTCAAAAAAGATTGACACCCTTTTTAATTATTGTAATTATGTTAATTATTTTCTGAGAACATTCTAATTTTGAAATGTACATGTAACCTTTGGGAGTTCACATTTGCACATTTCAATTTCTTAATGCAATACCTCATGTCACAAGGCACACATCCACCTGGTACTCAAATTCTTTCTACACTTGCTACTGCATATCTGTTGTCACTCCTTTTACAATGTGCTGTTGCAAGTTTTTGGGCTATATACAATAATTTTTATTTATTTTCGGGTTGTATAGGGGGCAGCCTGTGAGGAGTGTTTAAAGTAACACAGATTGGTAACACCATCTTTTTCCGGCGGGTGAGAAGTCATCCAGGTGAAGGAAAAGGGATCCTCCGTTTGTGTTTGTGTGTTAAGGTGTTCAGAGTGACTGCATAGAATGGTAGAAGTGTGGGGGCTGAGAGGGGACAAATAAACTACTCGATGAACAATAATATGTGATATATATCGTCATCGTCTCCCTTGCCGTTTGGACTGCCAAGCGGTAACAATCAACGACATGTGGAAGCAGTTGAGTCAGAGATAGATGCTTCATTTACAAACAACACAATCGTTTATTAAACACGAAAGAAGCTTACAAGATTTCCGCGATCTTTGAAGTTCTGCGGCGGCTGCGGCCTCTGGGTCTTCCTCTCCTGTGGTTCCATGATAGTCCCATTTTGAAGGAGTGTCCCTTGTTTGAGAATGAACAATTCCATCACATCTCGATGACTCCAGGATGATGCGGTCGACTTCCATTGATGGAAAGATGTCGATCCGAGGTCGGGAGATGGAGACGAAGATGGGTGAGAGACACACACACAACAACAGATCCGTCACTTGGAACTTTCGGGAGAAGAAGCCGTCGTGTCCTCGAATTTCCAGGGTTTTATCTGTTTTCTCTCAGATTCTCCTTTCCGATTGGTCTCCCGTCGTCACCTGATAACAATTCGAAACCTTTCGGGGGCGCGGGAGAGGTCAAAATCGAAGTTTAATTCGATCTCCAACTGGAAATGGTCGACGGACTTACATTCTTCTATTGTTTGAAAGTCTTCTATTGTCTAGCATCGCGTTTTCATATAAAAAATGTATTTCTAACTAATATATATATATTTTTTAAAACAATTATTTTAACGTGAATTTTAGTGAGGGTTCGGACCTGTCCAGAGCCTCTCAGAAGCAATACCTACACGGACTTGTATTACCATCTAGAAGTGAAAGAGTCCGTTTGCATCAGCTGAACTATTTACTGGGTGATTAGAATGTTTTGTTGGTAAAAATCAATTGTCAGTAGTGGACGTTTCCAGACAATTGGTTTTCTTTTGTGAGACCCACGTGTCTGGATTTTACCAAAAGGACCTGTACTATAGCAAACTCGTTGTACGGACGAACCTGGAGAGTTTGTGGGTGTCTGTATATGCTATCTGGTGAACAAATTTGTAAATTATTCTATATGTTTATTTTACTTGTACATAAACTTATTCTTAAGCTATTTTCCTTTGTCTTCCTTTTCACATGGTAATTCATCCCCTTTCACAATGGTCTTAGTATCGATTATTGTNAATAATTTTATCTAACTGCTCAATAAACAAAAACTAATTTTGGTAACCTTAGTCAAGGGTTACCAAAATTAGTTTAATACAAAATGTTTACATTCTCAGTTTGGACATACAAGAAGTACTGTATACACGAATGCAGAATAACAAAATAGAATATTTAAAAAATTGGAACATATTTTTAATGTATTGGAATGTTGATTTGTTTTTTGAAACTGTGTCCTGTTTTACAATTGTGGCGTAGTAAACACTAGTATTGTGTTTTATTCCAAAGACACATGGCAAATTTTCCATCAAATTCCTTTATTAGTTGAGTCGATGTTTGATGAGTCTTGCCATTTCTAGTTTCTGTAGATTTGTTGATTTGTTTTTTGAAACAAATCAACAAATCAAGACTCATCAAACATTGACTCAACTAATAAAGGAATTTGATGGAAAATTTGCCACATGTCTTTGGAATAAAACACAATACTAGTGTTTACTACGCCACAAGTATTGGAATGTATTTTATGAATGTGCTCTACTTTTATTTGTGATTTGTAAATTAAAAATAAATAGAATGTTTACAAAATTAGAATATTGTTATTCTACATTCTATTTACATGAACTGTGCATTGAAAATAGCTCACACTGAGGATGAAAAATGTTTTGTATTGAACAATATTTGGCAGTTTTTGTATAACAATGTAGTGCTAAGTTTTATATAGTCTTTTTATCTGACTATACTGTAAATTTTGATTTTATTATTAATGAATTAGTTTTCAAATATTTCAGCTAATTGTGTAGAAATATATAAACTTTTTCTAAAATATTTGAATAACTATATTAAATCATGCCAAACTGCTAAACAAAGTAACAATGAAGTCCAAGAAAACCTTTCAGCAGCAAGGAAAATTACATTTAATTAATGCAAACATTTTTGGTAATTTTAAAAGATCATCAGGCATCAGAACAAATCAAATACAAGTGAACTAGAAAATATAAGATGACTAGGCATAGAAAGAAATACAAATTCAAAGAATTCCAGCAAACCAAATACAAAAACAAAACAAAAAAATAATTTACAATAAATCAAAAGTTTATATACAGTTTTATTCCTATTTTGTTCATGTGAGGAACTACACTATAAATTTAATTGTAATTATTAAATTTATTGAGATGGTGTCTAACACCTGCCTCTAGGCCAAGTTACTTGAAATTTAGTTATTTGTTTCATTATTATAGCCTGATGTAAATATAGAAAAAATGTACACTATTTACAGTGAACATGTTTAATTGCAAACAATATTAATCTGATTGACAAATCATTGTCAAACTTCAAAAACAAGTCAGATGTTTTCTTATTTTTGAAGCCTGATGATGGCCTACTAATCTGATTGAAAATATTGATTTATTGTTAATGGTGTGTATTTTTCCTATATTCATAATACATATACGAGGGCTATTTTTTAAATAAGGACCATTTGTGAATGAGAGTGAGAATAACATGCGATTGCAGCAGTGTGCATGAGCATCTGCTTTCAGCATGCTTTGCATGTGTTTAGATGCCATTTGCAGCCATATCGTCTGTCTGCGTGCTGAACTGTAGAAGTTTATAATGTTTAAGAAAATTGAGTCACCCGCCGATTGTAAGATATGATCTGTTACTTGATTTCAGCATGAAAGATCACGGTAACTGTCTTTTGGGATAGGAAAGGAACTTTGTTAGTGGATTTTATGCCAAGAGGCACAACAATCAATTCTGATGCTTATTGTGTAACCTTAGAAAACTCCGTCGTGCCATACAAGACAAGCGTCGTGGACTAATGTCTTCCAGTGGCAGGTGGCATATTTCTTTGAAATCGGAATTTAAAAAATTTTTGAGTGGTATGACAAATGTTTGAACAAAAATGGAAATTATGTAGAAAAGTAGATAAAAGTATGCAGAATATGGGAAAAAATATTTTAAAATGATATTTACAGTATTTTTTTTTCTTACTAAAAAACGGACCTTATTTAAAAAATAGCCCTCATAAATTACTCAATTATTTTTATAATCAAAATATTAATATACATATTGATAAACAACAAATAATAAATTCTAATTTTTATGATAAAATTTTTAATACTTTCAGAGCTGTGAAAAAGGATGTAGTTAATTCTGCAGCTTATGGAACCAGTTCTAAGAGGTTAGTAATGATTTTATATTTATGCAACATATACATTGAAAATTACAATTTCATCAAGTCATAAATACTAAGTACAGTAATATAAAAGAAAAATATACATCAAGCAGTTTAAATGAATACAAGTAAAACAGCAAAGCTGTATTTGGGACAGACTATGTCTTGGAGATTCACTACTAAGCAGGATCAGTTTGATGCTTATGGCGGGTCTTGTTCTCATTCTCCAATCTTTTTTGGTATTGCTGGTTTTGAGTGTGATCATTCAAACTTCGCAAACTTTGTTGGCCTTGGTCATGTCCACATCCACTATGCATTTTTGGTGAAATTAACCTATCCAGTGTCAAAAATTTTCTCTGTTGCGTGTTGTCCTAGGTTGAATTTTTGTCGTTGGCTAACAAAAATTTCCTGTTTTTGAAAAAAATAATTATGCTATTGTATCGCCCAAAATTATTATTTTATTTTGCACAAACAAAATATATATATTAATAAATGTAAAAAGGAAAAAAAAAACATTTCGGACATTAGTTTTAATATAAAATTATAGTGACTAGCGCCATCTAGTTTCAAAAATGTTCTGATGCTGAAACAGGATATCTCACGTCAACCAGTCAAGGTCAGTATGTTGCGAT